GTACAGAGCAGCCCTGGGTGGGGAGGAGTGAGAGCACGCCCAGGGTTGGGGCATCTTTGCATGGGGTCGGGATCCAGGGGCCAGGCATTCCATTTGGGGCTATAGCAGCTGAAGTTCCCTGATGAACGCATGACCTCCCGGCTGGACCCCCATCCTTCCTAAGGCCTGTTCTACTGCCCTTTAACTGCCAAAGGAGCCTTCCCCTCAAGGACTAGGACAAGGACACTGCTTTGAAAAGAGAATCGGTGAAACTTGAAGAGGCAATGGCCCCTCCACTCGCCCCCGGTTGCTGTATGTCGGCAGTGCAGTGGAACCAGCTTATAGAAAGGGGACACGACGGGGCTGGCCCAGTGGTGCACTGCTACAGTGCGCCGCTTGGGAGCGCGGTGGCACTCCTGCCGAGGGTTCGGATCCCACATACAGACCGGTTCCCGCTCACTGGCTGAGCGAGGTTCGGGTGCAGCACCGAGGGTTGCGATCCCGTTGCCGGTCCTGGTCCAGTATGGGCGTGACACTGAGGGTTGCGATCCGTTGCCGGTCACAAAAAAAGACAAAAAGGAAAAAAAAAAGGGGGGGGGACACGAGGCCAGCTTCCTCCATAAGTTTTCCGTCATTCCAAACTTGACCACACACCAGCACCCCTGTCGATTCCAGGAAACTTTCTGAGGAACATCACTCTTCAGCTGTTCCTGCTTTGGAACAACTCACAGGGGACAGCACTTGGCAGCCCGCGGACTCTGGGAACCTAAGGGGCCTGCGTGCTGCTGCCAGGCCTCAGGGCATGGGCTCAGAGGGGGCCACCTTGGGAATGCAGCTGGCACTAGATACAGTGGCATGGCATCAAGACCAATGCTACCCCCTGCTGCCAGGGACTGACTATGAGAGAGAAGGGACTGAAGGGGCAGGCGAAGGGAAGCTGGCCATGTGTGAGCCTCCTTCCCACACGCTCCTTCCCGGGGGCTGGGCCTGCTGGTTTAGGACGGTCGAAGTCCCTTCCGGCGCTTGGCTACGTCTGGCAGGTCCTGGCTGGAATATGTCTGCTTTCTTCTCTGGAAGCTCAACATCCTTTCGGCAAATGCACATTTCCTGCCCTGCCCTGTTTGTTTCCACGGTTCACTCCCAGGCGTCTCTTTCCCCATTCCCCCAGCTTTCCCCTGGACATTTCTGCCAAGACCTCAAAGGCAACAAGCCTAAAACCAGACTCGTCACCTTGCTGCCTCCTGACCGTTTGTCTCTGTCCCTGCACCCAGCCCTGGTGCTGCTCCGCGCCCTACGCTGATGGCACGCAGCACCATTCTCCCGGGTCAGGGCTGCCTCCCAGCACTGCCACCGCCAGCTGGGGCTGGCCCTTCCGCCACACGCTCCTGCCCTGACTCTGCATCCACTTGGCTTTGGCAGCAAGATGACAATGATTCCTAAGACACCGGCCCTGCTAAGTTTCTCCAATAGCTCCCCAAGTCCCATATCCCTAACGCACCCTGCAAGGCCCTCAGAAGCTTGGTCACAGTGTATTTTTGGCAAGAGCACGCTGTGCCCATTCTTACCTCCCCTCTTTGCTCGGATGCCCCTCAGCATGTACAAACCCTGCCACCTTTCAAAACTCCTCCTTCCCGACTCTCCAGCCTGCGGGGCTTCCCAGCAGGACTTCTTGCTGTCCAGGCCACCTCTCTGGCTTCCACAGGGGCTGTCTTGGTTTATTTTCCTCTCTAAGACTATTGCCTCCTTCCTTAACCCAGGATACAGTCACCTGCACACAGCGCAAATGCAAGCCTGTATTCATACACTTGGCCCCTGTGCCATTAACGGGATGTGACACCGAGACTCGGGCCCCTAGTCTTGACTGTGCCTGGGGACCCCTCTTGGGTTCTGCACACCCAGGGCACCCTGAGCACCTCTGTTGGGCAGCTTTGGCCCCAATGGGGACATTCTCCAGGAAGCTGCTACCTCTGGGGAATGGAAAGGTGCCTCCGCGTTTCCTGGGCAATCAGCAACCCATCCTGACTCCTGATGCTCTTCCCTTGCCCTGCGCGGGGAGAAAGGTGTAAGGGTCTGGTTCATTTTGGCCAATTAGAAAGGCCAATTTTTAGAAGTGAAAAAGAACATGGAGGGGAGGGAGGGAAGTGAGAGAAGAAGGGAGACTAGAGTCTAGTTTCCAGAGCCTTCCGTAACTGTGCCATGTCAATGTAATTCTCACATGGGAAAAGAATGCATTCACATTGCCATAGATGTTCCCAGACCGAACAGAAGGTCAAAATGTGGCTATTTCAGTCCTTGTAAACAAGGAAGAGGTTTAGCTGGGAATGGAGTTCAAACCTTGGAATGTATTAACAAGGACATTTTAAACAGAATCCAAAGACATCCGGGAACACAAAGCACCACGGACCGAAGGCGGGTCAGGGTGGGAGGCCAGGGGCAGACCCTCCTCACAAGCCTTTCCTGAACGGAGGTCAGCGACAGCACGCCAGTGCTGGGATGTGATAAAGACTCGGACAAAACCTCCTTGTCGAGGTAGGTCGCAACTGTTCCGATTTGAAGACACTGGAGGGTGTCTCCTGGTATCTTCCAGAATATTCTGAAATTCTAAAACACTTCATGTCGGTCATCTTTGATGGAAAGGGTCAGTATGTGGCACTCGGTGCTGATGGGCTGGGGTCACCAAGCTTGCTGGCTGACAAGGGACAGCAATGCCCAGAGACTGGGGTGGCTGCTCTGCCCTTTCTCATCTTTCCACTGCTGAGGCACCATCTGCTTCTCCAGGTGCCTTGTGAGATTTCTCTCTCAGCAGTAAAAATAATTCTCTGTTCTATGAGGGTACTTTATAAAAATGAAGTCAGCTTCACCTTCACAAAACCAAGTACTGATGATAATTTGTCATAAAAAGACTAGTTGACATTTAACAAGTGCATGCCCTATAGGGTCTGTCTCTAGGAAACAGTCTTCTGGTTACCCGCCCGCTCGGATGACACCAGAGCCCGAGCAGCCTCCCCGCGCACGCCCTGCCCCAAGGACAGCGTGTGAGGCTGCCCCGCCGTCTGTGCACAGGCCAGCCCCGGAGCGGTGGAGGTCGTCCGTCCTCACGGCCCAGGCCCATCTCTGCCTTCCACGGGGAGGTCATATAAGCAGTGCTGTCTGACCTCCAATCTGGGGAAAGAAAAGCCTCATCCTAACTCGTTCCTGTAACCCATGGATGACCCCGGGAACTGGTGAGCCACAACTTGAACGATCATGGTCAGTGCTGGTGACACCCTCCTCCCAGCTGCTTCCATGCTGGCTGGCTGCTTTCGTGGGCTTCTCTGTGGCGTCTGCAACCGGACTCTTAGCTGCCCCCCAGGTCCAAGTCCCAGTTCTCCTCCCCCAGATCTTCTGCTCCCTCACCACTAGGCCCTTCTGTCACCTGTTGGCTGTCCCCTCCTGCTGCTGCTGCTGCTTTGACTCCACTCACGCCCATGTGCCTTGAATCACTGGTATCCTGGTTAACATACTGCATTTCAAATATCATTATGTGCAACCTGCTTCCGAAAAATTGCATGGTGGCTTTTAATTGGTCTTAAATTTCCCCGAAGGAGAGAAGAAAACAAAACAAAATCATGTGTTTCAAACAGTTTTACTGAGTGATAATATCAATAAGAATATCCTGGTATCATTATTAAGAACTATGACAGAGGGAGAACCTAACGAACTGTAAGTCTGTAGAACTAGTGGGGATGAAGTGGCAGCTGCCATACGTGATGGGGAAAAATGCTCCCGTTGGTAAGTGTGGGTCAGTGTGAGAAGCAGACGTCAGTGGTAGAAAACGCCCACAGCACAGGTGGCAGGCTTCCCGCCCAGAGGCTGGCCAGCTGCGGGCAGGTGGGAGGTGGCTGCAGAACACAGCTCACGCCAGCTGTGTGCACCTCTGGACATGCACCAAAAGGCACTGTTCTCAGCATGAAATCATTTAAGCCCCCAAAGTGTGATCATGACCTCCTTGGCCAGAACTGCTTGGTTCTCTGTCCTTAGCAGGAATCTTGCCCTCCTTTCTGACTCATTTTTTTTTTTTTTTTTTTTTTTTACAGGCTCTTCATAGGGATGAAATTCGCCACCTTATTTGGGCTGAGACATAACCCGCGGTCTGCTTGCCCCTGGCATTCCTGCTGTTCTAAACCAAGCTTTCCAAAGAGAGCCGGAAGGCCCTACATGTGGTGCCTGGTAGGCAGCTCACCTCTGGGAATGCTATGACTTTTTTTAAGACTACACTCACTGCTAGAAGCTAACTAACTGAGAAGTGACAGCTGATATCGAATGAAAAGACAGACAAATCACCAAAATTATTACCTATGAGAAAAGCCTAGCAATCCAAGGGAACTCATTGAGAATCCTACATAATTCAGTCATGCTTAAGGGTAATTATCTTGTTTCTAACGAGGCTCATAAAAATGTCCCCAAGTCTTCAAGAAAGGGCTGCATTATATTCAGCATAATTGGATTAATAAAATAGGGGGACTCTACATACTGCATGAAATAGATTTCCAACAAAATGGTTAATTTCCAAAAAAGACTCAGGGCTTTAAAGGGAAAAGCTTCATTTATCTGTAAAATTCCCTTAGGTAGGAATATCGCACTCCATGATGCTACTGGATAACCAGATGTTCATGGTTCCAGCCTTACCTACAAAGGCCATGGTGACAAATTCTAGGGGTGATGCACTTTGAAAACTACCAGTTTTTACCTTGGGATGACCCTCCCTATGCAGGCCACAGTGGGGGAGACAATGAAGAATGCCCATCAGAATCTCCTGGAGGTAGCAGCACCCCACTTGCCAGATCCCCCCACCCCAGAGGCCTACAGTTCCCAGCTGATGCTGTGTGTGATGGTCCTGACACTGGACACGCTGCTTCTGCAGGGGGCTTGCTCAGCACTGACGTTGGAACTCACCAGCACGCTCCAGTTTTGTAGAACAGCTAGAGAACAGTAGCCACCATTGAAGATCGCATTAATACCCACAAGACAGATTGCAGCCGCCATCACACATCTGGGACCTGGCACGGAGAAAGAGATCACCCGTTAACAGAGCATGGTCACCTCCACCCTGGGCTGGCCTGTGGGGCTCCCTGGGCCCTGATGACTGTTCTGAGGGCAAAGAACTGAGAGAGCCAAAGACCAAGGGACCAAAGGCCTCTGCTGCTGACCTGAGGACAAGCTGCCACCTAAGAAAGACTTTTTACACCAGTGGCATGAAACCCTCTGAGCTAGGACATGGAACTCAGGACTTGGTGGGGCAAGTGCGGGGAGGCTCTTGGCTGGCCGGGGAGGAAGGGCGCCCCGAGAGAGGTGTGCTGTGGGCTTTGCTGAGGGTGTGAATCTCCCCAAGGCAGGCAGAGGCTCCGCCACCTGCTCGCACGGTCAGATCCCAAGGACTGTGGGCTGGATCTGTGGAAAGGTGTGGGGCCCGAGGGGCCCGAGGCCCCCCAACAGAGGAAGGCCTCTGCTGCTGACCTGAGGACAAGCTGCCACCTAAGAAAGACTTTTTACACCAGTGGCATGAAACCCTCTGAGCTAGGACATGGAACTCAGGACTTGGTGGGGCAAGTGCGGGGAGGCTCTTGGCTGGCCGGGGAGGAAGGGCGCCCCGAGAGAGGTGTGCTGTGGGCTTTGCTGAGGGTGTGAATCTCCCCAAGGCGGGCAGAGAGGCAGCACTGGGAGGTGGCCTGGCCCAGCCAGCAGAGGCTCCGCCACCTGCTCACATGGTCAGATCCTAAGGACTGTGGGCTGGATCTGTGGAAAGGTGTGGGGCCCGAGGGGCCCGAGGTCCCCCAACAGAGAAGGCCCCCCAACAGAGGAAGACTCGAAAGTGTAACCAGCTCCAGGAGTTGCATCCGACCACCACCACAACTTGGTCAGCCCAAGGTCACAGGAGAGCCCTGTGCTGCCACATGCACCAATGACTAATCTGTGCTCCAAGCGCCTCCTCAAAAACGGAAACCAAAAGGAAACACATTCATGAACACGTCCTGCTACTCCCCAGGGTCTGAGAACTTTAAAACATGAAGGTGCAAAGACCCAGCAAATAATACATTTTAAATATTCCTCCTGCAGGCATGGCTGCCTCTGAGCCAGCTGGTTTTCCCAAGAAGTCCTGCTGCCAAGGAAGGAGGCCCAACTCCCTGCTTGTAGATGCCAGTGGCCCTACTCCCTACTAACAATTCTCAATTTTTCAGCTCTGGTCAGCACTGTTTTCCTTCCTGCAGACAGAGAGGTTGTTTCTAGCATGTAGGGCTGTATGAACAGGAGTGCACAATGTACGACTAACAATTCTCAATTTTTCAGCTCTGGTCAGCACTGTTTTCCTTCCTGCAGACAGAGAGGCTGTTTCTAGCATGTAGGGCTGTATGAACAGGAGTGCACAATGTACGGGGCAAACTCTTCAAGTTCCCCATAAACACGTTCCTGGCTCAGTCCACTCAGGAGTCTGCCCCTTCGAGGGAGATGCCTGGGTCCTCTGAGCTGGCCCCAGCAGGGCTCAAGCAGGGAGAGAGACCGGGCCCTGTGCTGAAACCCAGCTCTGGAATTAATGGTGAGCCTGAAGGAAAGACTGCCTTCCTAGGACATCTCTTCATAGAATTAAGGGGAAAAATGTTTTCTCCAAAATTTCACTATAAAAACAATAAAAGATGAGTAGATGTGATTCTAGTTTCCTAGTAAAGTTTGGGTTATTTGAGGACAGGAAAATAATGCTCATCTTTGCAAATGAAACCTATCAGCTCATGCACTCTTCCCCAGCCCCCTCCACACCTGCCGACAGCACACGTGGAAGGGAGAAGGGAAGCCTGCAGCAGCAGCCCCAGGGTGCTCGTGGGGCTGCCGGGCTGCATTTTTAGGATGCCTGTGCCTAAGAAGTCATGCTAATGGCCAGATCCCTCTTGGCCTCTGGGCTCAAGCTAATCAGTCTGACTCAGCAATGACTGACTAAGAGTACTGGGACCCTAACTCTCACCCAGTGTTCCCAAGAGAATGTGGTTTTATCAACAAGCCGCTCTTTGCACAGCGACTGCATCAGCCACAGTTGTCCGCACACCAGAGTTCACCTGGTGGGCAGTGAGGACGTGTGAGCCAGAGCCTGCTCTACAGAGAACCCCTGAGGTGACTCCCCAGAGAAAATGCAATTCCAAATGTGTTCGTTTCTAACTTTATGCTGAGAACACTGGCCTTCTGAAATTCCATGTTCCACCGAGAAGGAGATGCTGGAACTGGAGGGCTGGGGCCGAGGCTCCTGCAGGTGACCCCGACCTGGCAATGCTCTCAGGAATTGTGGAGCCACTGAGACGCAATGTCCAAGTCTTAACCCGTGGCCACCCTCCTTGAACTTCTTCCATGGAACATTCGGGCACCTCTACTAGAGCAGATGCTCTGGGGTCTTGAGGAGCCCCAACCAGACTCATGGAACGTAGGTAAAGGGGGTTGGGGGCAAGTGCAGCCTTCAGTGCATCTGGTTGTCCTATGGGCCCTGGTTTGTAGGTGAGCTCGGTCGGTGCTGTGTGGTTAGCAGAGGTCTGTTGTGCATGGCCTAAAGAAGCCTGGGGGACACAGCAACAGCTGAGGGAGCGCCCGGCCACTGCCATGCTGGGCAGGGGGCAGAGTTTTCAGGCCCATCCACAACAGACCCCGGGCTTGGAGGACTCCTAGGGCCAGGCACATGTCTCCTCACTGGGAACCTGGAGAGAGCTCTCAGAGGAGGGCGGCTGTGTGTCCACGACTCAGTGGCACAGGCTGCTGCATTTCAAGCCCATTTACTTTGATTTAGCAAACAGAGAGGCAAGAAGAGGATTAGAGAAGTTAAATTATTCTCCAGGCTCCAGTAAAGTGGGGTCTGTTTTGGAAAAGAGACCCCATATAAATCTGGTAAAGCTTTAGGGCTTTGCTCAAATGTCATCTTCTAGGGCTGACACTGACTACACTGAGACCCTGTATGAAACAGAAGTGCTGTCAACCCCATGGCATGTACCTTCCTACCTTGCCACCTGACCTATCCTGTTTATTATTCTATTACCCATCTCCTCCCTATTATAGCTGGTTGCTGAGCATTTATGTGTTAATGACCTTAACTGCGATGTGCAAACCCCCATTGATAGAAGAAAGGAGAATGCAAATGTGTCGCCAGCACCGCCTGGTTTCTGGGCACACCGCAGTTTGAAAGCACAACACCTGGGTATCTTCTAGGGCAAAGGCAGGGGGACTGCAGAAGCCCCAGCAGTGGTCTGAGCCTGCATGAAGACCCAGTGCCCCTTCCTTCCTGTGATGTTCCACCCTCTGCCTGGACACCCAGAACCTGGGGCTCCCCTCAGGACAACCCTGTGCACCAGGCGCTCGTGCTCACAGCCCAAGACGGGCTAGGCCGCTGCTCGCAAAACAAAACGTAAGGAACAAACGGCTTCAAGTGCACCAGGCGCTCGTGCTCACAGCCCAAGACGGGCTAGGCCGCTGCTCGCAAAACAAAACAAAACGTAAGGAACAAACGGCTTCAGATTCCATCCACGTTCTCTCTGGCCATCCCTTTTCTAATTTGGTGAGGCTGGAACTACATGTGCTTATATTTGCTCTGTGTGGTCTCAGGCCATGGCCAGGGAGGCTTCGTGAGTTCTTGAAGAATAAATACCCTCCCACGCCCACCCCAACTCCCAAACTCGTTCTTCCCTTCTTAAAAAAGTTTAACTCTATTTAGATATCCAACAAGGAAAGCTGTGTAACTCTCACTGCCTGTAAGGAGTGACAAAAAGCTTGCGCACGCTCTGCTGTTCTCGATGTATATGGGAGACGGACATTTTCAATTATTTTTATGTACTCTGGGGCTCTCTGCCACATTGTTAGAATTAGCAAAACTCTAGTGATGCAGATACAGCTCAGAGCCAGACTGACCCCCACCGACCAGGCAAGGTGCTGGGCAAATTAAACAGCAACGACACCCTTCCCTCTGACTACCAGCCATTCTCGGATGGTCGTGCTTGTGCCACCAAAGACAGTCAACACACATGCCCTACTCTGCAGCTTTCCACACAGCAGGCTGGTCTTGGCGCATCCTGAGCAGTAACTCTCCTTCCTCTCATATGATATGTCCACGACTCTCTCCCATTTGAACTTAAGCTCCTTAGGGCACACGCCTGGTATGTCACATTTTTATATCTAGCACACAGCAGACACGATGAATGTTGAGTTAAAAAATAAAGAGCCAGTTTCCATTCTAGTCCGGTCACTGATTTCTCTCCAGCACTAAGATGTGAACGTAGGGAAATTAGAAGTCCCTGAAGGACCTCCGAGTGGGCAGGCCCGGGGCTGTTTGGAAGGACTGCGTCCCAGTGCTCTATCACGTCACGAGGGAGGGCCACTCTGGACGCAGGTCGTCGTGTCTGACACTACACTTTACTTCTGCTCTCATCTGCTGTTCTGGTACCATCTTTCCACGGAGGGAAAACACGGGGGGTTGTGCGGGGTGAAAGTCCCCCCTAATGAATGGAGGAAGGTCTCATGGGCCAGTAATGCTGTGGGTGGCACCTGCCTTTTATTTGGACTTTCTGACAGACTAGTTTTGGTCTCAAATGTTTGTATTAGCTCATCAGCACCACTGTTTCCAGTTCTAATTTACATTTCCCTAAGATTACGTAGCATGGATTATTAGCTGTCTTGGAAAGGACTTGATCCAAAACACGAGCAGGAGCCGGAGTCGTGGATCCAGCCTCACAGCCCCAGCACCCAGCACAGCAGCGATGCGCACAGTTACCCACACTCCTCCCCTCCCTCCAGACCCCAGGAAAGGAGACTGGCCCGTGGCCCACCGCCCACGTGTGGATGAGAACAGACGGCTCATCCGCAGGGGACGTTACACGCTTACTCCAGCCGTACAGGTTTATAAGCTGTACTTCCTGGTGCCACCGCCTCCTGCGGGCTCTGACTGATGGCAGCGCTGATGGGGGGAGAATGACGACTTAGAGAAGAGTCAGGTGAGCGGATACAAGTGAAGCCCAGGCTCTTTTTGACTGGAACCCATGCAACTGCTTGGCCTATATAAATTCTTTATTAAAAAAGAAACAGCGCTCCGTAGGTCCTCTGTTGCATCCTTTGCCAACTTCTCTTTTGTTTCTTTGCTGGCCAGCACGGGTCGGTCTCTGGACTGCACTCTTAACCAAGGGAGCTGGCCGGCCGGCCTGCTGTTTGCCAGCTTCTCTGCCCACTGCCTCTGCCACTGCCACACGGAGGGCACCTGACTCAGCCTCGCAGAGCACCTGACGCTGCGCGCTGGAGCAACGCTCCTGCCTCACGTGCTGCCTCTCGTCACTTTGTCCTCCACCTCCGTGGGGCTTTGTGCTCAGTGACCTCTCGCACAGTTTCCTTCACTCCCTTGACTATCGGCTGATGCTGTTTCAAGCCATGAACTCTTTCATGGTCTTTGGAATTTCTAGTTATCTCATCCGAGATGCTTCCAGCTGAACACCCTACCAGCCTCGGAAAACTAAGAGGTAAGCACACTGTCACGGAGGAGAGGTGCTCATAGCACCTTCTGGAGCCGCACGGTGGTGGTAGACCAATGTCACCGTGGTCGTGGAGGGAAGTTCCCGAATGGGAGGCTTTTCTGAATGAAGAAACAAAGGCTAGGGGATACGTAACTGAAGTTAGAAAACTTAATTATGGGCATATGGACATGCAACAAGGGCTTAACGAAATCCTGGACTTGATAGACTCTAGAATATACGAACCTCAAAGCTTACAGATGGTATTTTCAGGAAGCAAAAAAGTCTCTCCTAAAACACAAACTTTTAGATTCCACAAAATCTTAAAATATTTTAAAAGAACACTTCAGGATCTATCATGGATTGCTAACTGTATTCTTCTAAGAAAGGACACTTAAAATATATTTGAAAGGAATGCTTGCGCACACACGGACACACACAGGCAGCATAATTTCAGAGTAAGGGACAAATACAAGCAGCCGTAAGAATCTACTACATTGCCCTGATCTTTTTCACATCATCACAGATTAATGGAAAGTATCACAGACGGCCAATGGTCCAAGGATCTTTTACACATGGGAGCCGCTGGATAGATTCTGGCCAAGAGGTTACGGTATAGTTTCCCAAAGCATGCTTTAAGTAAAACATTAGTCTCCTAAGAGTCTGTAAAAAAGGATCCCCTAGTCTCAAATAAGTTTGAGAAATGCTGC